TCTGCTTTCTCCCTGTTGTTTGTCACCTTCTTGCCAATTTCTCCCAGCAATGGGCCAATTGTTTCCTTGACTTTTTTCTTGTTTTTAATATGTTGGAAGAAGCTTTTTTTGTTATTTTTGTTATTACCTATGTTTCTTTCCATATCCTAACAAATTAGGGGTCAGAACAAGCTACAATTTAAAAAGAATGAGCAGAGTCAGAAACTTTCTACAAAGTTTATACTTTTCTCTGTAAATTCCATCTTGTTTTTTCTGTTTCTGCCTGACTTCATGATATAAAAATTATTTTTAGAAATACTTTTTTTTCCTGGTAAAAAGCCCTTACACCTAATTAGCATGATTAAGTTTTAAAAATTAAATTATCATTGCTTTTCATTCCTGAAAGACTCCTAACTGTTTCAAGAATTATTTGGAGATCCGTTCCTTGCACCTGAAATTATTGCAACCCCTTTCAAAAAAATAAAAATAAAAAAAAAATGTGTTGGGACAAAACCAGTTGTAACAATTCAGTTTCATCAAGGCAAGTGATAAATGTCCTAAATGACTGAAGGTTCAACAATATAAATAAATGTGAAACTGATATGAAACAAAGTATGATGGTCAGGTTTCCAACTACACTTCTTGGATGTATGTAAGTTGGTTCAATAAAGCATAAATAGCTGAAATTTTAAAAAAAAATCCTCAGGATGGCATGATTCAAAAGGAAGCCCAGCAGGTAATGAGTCATTTTGCTTGGTATTGATTTTAAAATCTTTGCAGGTGTTGAGAGTAACATTTTACTTGACAAATCCAGGACCTCAGAACATTATACTCCAAAAACATCTAAAAATTCTTGCACTTGTTTCCTTTATATGCTGATCAGTGGTAGGTTTCAAAATTTTTTACTACCGGTTCTGTGGATGTGGCTTGGTGGGCGTGGCAGGGGAAGAAAACTGTAAAATCTCCATTCCCACCCCACTCCAGGGGAAGGTTACTGCAAAATCCCCATTTCCTCCCGATCAGCTGGGACTCGGGAGGCAGAGAATAGATGGGGGCGGGGCCAGTCAGAATTTTTACTACCGGTTCTCTAAGCTACTCAAAATTTCCACTACCAGTTCTCCAGAACTGGTCAGAACCTGCTGAAACCCACCTCTGATGCTGATCTTATTTTTTGTGCTGTTCCTCTAAGAATCCTAAATGAAAGAAAAATTAGTGGAAGCAAAGCTTCTGGATGAGTCTTACATAATTGTGTAGGTCAGCACTTTGAATCAAGTTTGCCACAGCAGTAAATCAGGAAAACTTTTTTTTCCCCAAATTCCATTTTGGATCAAACTTTTTCTATTGGTTCTAATGTAGCATTATATTTATCTTGAATATCATAGGAGTAAGCAGCTGCGTTCTGCTGTAGCTATTAATTCCTCCCAAATGAAAACTATTCTTGAATTGTAATCATTTCTATAGATCAAATGTCACCAAAATGTAGCGGAAGTTTGGAACCAAGTGGATTAGTCATCAATAACTGAGTTTAAACAGGCTTGGGATAAACACATGTCCATCATCCGACAAAAAATAAAATAAAAATAATAAGTAAAATAATAAATACATAAATTAAAAGGAAAACAAAAACAAAACAAGGCAGAAGAGTGTACAATAGACCTTCATTAGACTATTTTATTTGGCACATTCCTACAAAATTCACTTCCATACTCATCCATAACCTTATCATAAGTCAATCTCTCAGCTTGAGTTTATAAACCATAGGCACACTCGGGTGTCTTTAGGTAGCCTTTGGGGAAAGCTAGCTTGCTTCTTTCCCCCCCCCCAATTATTTAATTTGTGCTCCTTGCCTACCACTGGATGGCAGTAGGATGATGTATATGCTACATTGGAATAGTCTTGTTGAAAAGAAAAGAAATCTTTTCTATGCTTATACCACATACCTGCTTTATTTCCTAGCTCCTGCTTGCCTCTTTTGCATCAAGGGACCACTGTTGTTTGAAAGTAACTGTATTTATTTAGAATAGTTATACTCCGTATATCCTCTAAGACCTTATAGTGACAGACATGGAGAGGGTTTTTTTCCCCCCCTTTCATTCCCTTTCTATGGTACAAAATGTGAAATAGATGAGGTTGAGAGAGATTAATCTGGCAGGAGACAACCCATAGCCTTTGGTGGATTTGAACTCATATATTCCATCTACGAAGAAGCACTGAAAGGATGTATAAAATAGGCATTTCTGTCCTCAGGAACTGATACGTTTGCCTCTAATTTTTAAACAACAAGGGCACCCTGAATCAATCCTGTATCGACTGCCCTTGTGATACCTTCCACTGTAAAAAAATGATATGTGTCGTACAGTGAAGCAATTTTGAGAAAGAGTAGTGACAGAATGTATGGGGTCTCTGTTACACTTTTCACTGATCTTTCAGTGTTCCACCTTTCTCTATAATCTGATTCTTTTAATTAGGTTTAAAAGGTTTAAAGGTTTCCCCTGTCCAGTCATGACCGACTCAAGAGGGCAATGCTCATCTCAGCGGAGGGAGCCTGGGTCGCCTGAGAGATGCTTCCATCATCAGGCGGCTAGCGTCAGAGGTACTATTCAGCTGGTTCAGGCCCGAACCGGTAGCAGAAATCACGAGTGGGCCCACCCCCGCCCCCGCTCTATGCCATCCTATTTAGGCACGTTTTTGAGGCCGAGTGCATGCGTGGAAGGTGCGCATGTGAGCAAAGTGCATGTGCAGAAGGCTGGGTGCCTGCACAGAAGGTGTGCGCGGGGCGAACTGGTGGTAACAAAATGTGAAACCCACCGCTGGCTAGTATGAACATATGGAACACAGTAACCTTTCCCACTGAAGCAGTACCTACTCACCTACTCACATTTGCATGCTTTTGAATTGCTAGGTTGACAGGAGCTAGGGTGAGGATGGGAACTTACCCCGTCGGGTAGCACTCAGGTCTTGAATCTGGGCTGTCAGCTTTCCAGCTGACCAGCCCAGTGTTTTAACTGGTGAACCATCATGCTGATCTCTTTTAATTAGAGATTCCAGTAATTTGGGCCTACTTAATGGAAAGAAATTGTGGGAGCTTCATCACTGGAAGCTTTCACAAACAGACTGGACTGCCATTTGTCAGAAATGGAGGTAGGGTTTCCTGCTTGGATGGGGGGTTGGACTAGATGACCTACAAGGTCCCTTCCAACTCTGTTAATCTGAAATCCTTTTTGTTCATATTGTTGTGACCGAGGCCCAAGTAGTGATTAGCAAACACAATTCAGTCCTGAACAAACTTATTTTATTAAAACAGCTGAGAATTAATTCATTCTCAGCTTAGTCCAAAACAAATTCTTCATAACCACTCCTATGGCCTTATCACCAACCTTTGATGTCTTTGGCAATCTGCCAAAGGCTTTTCTTGGCAAAACCCCCACAAAGTTCAAGGGACGCTGACAAGAAGCACTGGAATCAACATTGCTTTTCTACAAAGAACCCAACGGCTCGTTGCTGCTCTTTTAAGCCTTATGGGAGTGGCCAATCATCTTCTGGCCTTACTCCCAGGTCGTCCTTTTTGCTTCAGCTGCTCTTGCCTTCTGGCAGCTCTTCGCATGTGTGCACTAGGAACAGGCTCCTCCTGTTCCTCTGCCTCTCTGCTGTCTGCCTCTGGAGGCTCCGGAGTCTGTGCATCGCTCCCAGATGGACCTGGCCCCATCTCTGCCTCTGATGCAAAGCCCTCATCCAGGCCTTCCCCTGACTCCAGGACTGACCCATTGTCCTCCCCAGCCATCTCACTGTCTGACTCCACTGCCAGGTCCACAGGCTGCTGCCAGACCACAACACATGTATAGAATTTGGTCCCTTAACTGGTCTGATAATATTTGAATTTCAAATGTATTTACTTATTTAAAATTAGCACTATGCTGACAAACAAAAGCAAAATTTGTAAATAGCACAAAGTAAATCTGTTCAATGTCTTTAAAACACCCAAATGAATGGCAATAAGAGCCTTGGTGGTGCAGCAGACTAAAGTGCTGTTAAGTAGCACCAGCTGTCTGCAATTACTACAAGTAATTACTACTACAGTTCGAATCTCACCAGGCTCAAGGTTGACTCAGCTTTTCATCCCTCCGAGGTCGGTAAAACAGTAAAAAGAAAACAAAGAAACCATATCAGTGTAAAATGCAGGTTGATTAGAACAGTGGTTCTCATCCTTGCCGGACCATACAATTGGCATTTTCAGAACATTTCATGGAACTTCTCAAAAAATGACTTCCCCGAAGGGTATGATTCACAAAAATGCCTGTTTACCAGATGGCAAAAAATTGAAGTTACTTTCTCTTACCCTTGTATACCATAGTTGTTTGATTTTTCTGGGAAAATGGGTATACAGTCTACAAAGCTCAACTACCATTTTTAGTTTCTAAGAATGGCTGTGAGACTTATGGAGGTCTCAGATGTTCGTAGAAAGAAATGTGAAGCTTCCCATGCTTGTTCTGCTGTTTGCCAATTTTCCATTTAATTTTTACAAGTTATCTTTTTTAAATGAGTTGGTGCCAGGGATGTTGTCACTGTGTATATTGGTTGCAACCAGACCCCTTAGTCTGAAATTGAAAAAGTAGGTCCAAATTTACCACATTTAGTGACGTAGTAGAGAACTAGTGCTTGATAAGTTAAATAAACAAATAAATAAATATATAAATATGGTAAGTGTTAAACCTTAGTGTATGCAGCATGTGCTAATGAGAGATACTGCCTCAGCATGGTTTATCAGCTTAAACAGATAAATACTTTTTCTCCTTGGAGAACTATGTTAATTAAAAGAACCACACATTTCCGTGTGACAAATTATTGCATATGCTGATTATGATTTATTGAAAGTTTTGGTTTTTTTGTGGGGATGGCATACTTACGTAGCATCAATTGAAAAGTTTCATCTCTCAGACTTAAACACTGGTACTGGGTATTTAAGAAATATGATCTCAATTCAGAGTCATATATAATACAGCATATGGAAACATATTTTTCAGATGTATGGTGGTATGCAGATGGCAATGTGGAAACTGTGGAATATTGTAATCTGGAGAAATAATTGCTGTTTTCTTGATTCTGATCCTAACGTGAATAGCGTTGAGTATCAGGTGAGAAAGTGCATCTGGATGCATCTTCTAAATACATTTATTTATTATTTATGTATTAAATTTCTACGCCATCCACCTCACCTATGTGATTCTGGGTGGTTTACAAGATCATAATAAAAGCTTATAAATACATGAATATAGTCATAGATGCAAAACAGAAAACAGGTTAAAACTTCAAGTAAAAGTAAAAATCAAGTTAAAAATCAAGTTACATACACATGGTTTGAATTTCCCAAAAGTCTACGCATTCCATGTGTTGGTAGAATGTTTGGAGATACTAATATTCTGTGTTCAAAGAAAAATGAACACTATTTTTTTCAACTTTTTAAATAGATATATTAAGAATTTTCTGCCAAGATACCATAGTCCTTCAATTTCTTCCTGCCTCATTCGAAGATGCGCAGTTTTGGGTGACTAACATATTTTTCCACTGCTTTTAAAAAAATGAATTCAAGAGCCAAATTACTTTTTTTGCTGTAAGTCAGCTGTATATACTTAAACTAAATGCAGTTAATATTTGATGTGATGTAATTTTTTCCCCACTGAATTTCCTATGAGTCAGTATTTTACTTTAGTTCTTTAATATAAACGTTTATGGATTTTCTGCCTTTTGTGGAGAACTTCGCAACAATAGCTTTTCCTGAGGATGCACGAATAACATGCAGAAAACATTTGTGCATGAATCATTGATGCTAACACAGGTGTTCTTTTTAAAAGAGTGTTGCATATAGAATCAAGTCCATTGCTTCCTATATAGGCTTCAGGGAAAAAAGGGAACTGGGGCCTCATTTTGACTTCCTGTACTATTGCAGGTTGCAAGATATCAGCAAAGAGAGTTTTCTTTGTTCTTTGCTACCATATAGTGGTTGTCTGAATTTTACTGGCCAGTTATGGTAATCTCTTCAGGTTGAGAATCCTGGTGACACTTAATTTTCTATTACTGAAGATATGATTGAAGCAGAGGTGGTATTCAGCAGGTTCCGACCAGTTCTGGAGAACCAGTAGCAGAAATTTTGAGTAGTTCGGAGAACCGGTAAATACCACCTCTGATTGGCCCCGCTCCCATCTATTCTCTGCCTCCCGAGTCCCAGCTGATCAGGAGGAAATGGGGATTTTGCAGTAACCTTCCCCTGGAGTGGGGTGGGAATGGAGATTTTACAGTATTCTTCCCCTGCCATGCCCACCAAGCCATGCCACGCCCACCAAGCCATAGAACCAGTAGTAAAAAAATTTGAATCCCACCACTGGATTGCAGGATGTCAACTGTCACTGCCTTATAGTCCTGGTTGATCGAAACAAAATCTTAGGTTTCTAAATGAAACATGCTTAATATGGGCTCTTCTATGTGACATTTTAAAACTGTTTATCTCTCATTCTGTTGGAAACAAAGTTGATTTTAAAAATTGCTGCCTTAATTGTTGTCCATTTTCCAGATTTGGCAATGTCTAGATGGTTGTTACAATTGGTCAATTCCTTCTTGATAATACTCCTGAATGTTGTGGTGGAAGACAGTTAAAACAATAAATCAGCGGAATGATTGCCTCCAGAAGTTGTGAATGCTCCAACACTGGAAGTTTTAAAGAAGAGATTGGGCAACCATTTGTCTGAAATGGTATAGGGTTGTCTGCCTGAGCAGGGGATTGAACTAAACGGTCCATTCCAACTCTGATATTCTGTTATGAATATGTCCACAAACAAGTAGAGACAATAAGCTTTTAGTCCCCCAAACAACAACAGCCAACTAACATTTGCAAATGGTGATAAGAAAAAGTTAACACAAATTTCGATAAGAGTTTCCCTGCCCCCACTGCTTTTGAAACATGATGGGTGTTGTCAAAATCACAGAAATTGTGAGACTCTTAAATCTCTTCATCCTAAAAACTGCCCTCCCTCTCTCTTTAGTTTTTTTTAAAACTTCTCAATATACCAAGTTAAGAAACGGTGGCATAGTTTATTCAGTAGTCTACTGCATATTTCATTTGTCTTCTGCACCCTCTTCCCTGCCTAGAATTGGCTTCTCAAATTCTAAAGAGTTAGAACCAGTAGAACCAGGGATGAAACAGTGCTCACCATTATGAAGGTGGCCCATTTGTTTCTAAACAAAGAAATTGAGGTATGTGTAAAGAGTCACTGTTGACTTTTAGCGATCACCCAAATAGATCTTCTCCAGGATGATTTGTTCTCAGTCTGGCACTAAATGAGATTTCACTCTCTACCGGTTTATTAAACCTGTAACTCACGGTAAATGAAAAATTAGTTTGAAACAAAACTAGTATACTTCAACAGTATCTGGGTTGTGTGGAACTCATCAACACAAAGGAAAACTTTGGATTTCTGCATTCTTCCCAGGCGTGGCAATATCAAAAGGCCATATCATGAATCTCAACATGGGATACTAAGAAGTGTGGGGTGGGAAAGACATATGTTTTTCTGTCTCTGGATGCTATTGCCACTGCAAACTGCGGGATTTTTTTTTTGTACTGGCAGCATTTGTGACCTGTCTTAATCTGACCAGCTCTGTGTACAATGTACAAGGGAACAAAAATACAAAACATCTCAACTATTTAAAACTCTACACTACTCAATCAACACATCATAGGAAATAATGATATTTACCCCTAATCTTTCTAGGATCCAAAAGCCCGTTGATAGCATCAGAACTGAAGAAGTTTCTTGGATGAGAAGTGAAACCTCTTCAATGAAAAATAAAGGAAGTCCAGTTGCCTCTTGAAAAAGCACCTTTGGGGCAACCATGACCCAGATACTGAGAATCTTCATAGAAATTGGTAGCAACAATACACCATTTGACCAGAAAATGATCTGGCAAAGAATAAATGTCAATGTAGTCTACATTTATGTCTCCAAAGCAAAAACAAGTTCAAGTATGTGACAGTCAATGCAGGTTGAGATCACTAATTATTGTGACAAAACCATGGTTGCCTTGCAGGAATGAACTTGTGAGCTAATTTACATTGCTTTTCCAAGGCATGGAGTCTGAAGTTATATAAAATCGCCAATATTGAAGATTCACTGCAGTCTTGAGATGTTTAGCAGCTTATGAAAGGTTACTGTCAGGCGGTTACCAATCAATGTGCCAGCAACAGGCCTGCTTGTCTCTGCATCTCAACTTCATAACACAATCTAAGGATGATGTTCATGATGATTTTGTTTAGCTTCATGTTTAGGCATAATGAAGAAATAAATTTATGAAAAAAAAATTCTTCATCACATAAAAAGTTGGTCTATCCATGCTTGGATAGAAAGGCCCTTAATTTAATTGTTTCATTCTGTTTTATATTAGTTTTTGCAAGTTGTCCAGATTTTGGTTAAATCCATTAAAATAAAATAATAAATAAAGTAAAATAGCCAACGATCCATCCTATGTCTGTCCTCTCTCTCTATGATGATTTCTCTAATCTAGGACCAGTACTAGACTAGGATGATGAAGAAATGCCACTATACTAGAATAGAATAGAATAGATAGAGTAGAATAGAGTAGAGTAGAGTAGAGTAGAGTAGAGTAGAGTTAGAGTAGAGTAGAGTAGAGTAGAGTAGAGTAGCGTAGCGTAGCGTTAGCATAACATTATTTATTGGCCAAGTGTGATTAGATACACAAGGAATTTGTCTTGGTGCATATGCTCTCGGTAAAAGAAAATAAAAGAAAATATACTACATTAGAATGCAGTGATTGTTAGTGCAGTCTTCATTCCTCAGCTGTTACAGTGCCATGATCCTGACTTCAGCCACCTGAAATTAAGATTTTACCAGGATGCCCTTTTCAGCCAAGATTATCTCAACCACACTGACAAAATTGGTAAGAACATGATATATAATTTAACATACTATATCAACATCAACACTGGCTTTTGTTTTTGATTTTTGTTTTCTCTTGCACTCTAATGCTAGCCTTGCTGAATCTCAACCAGATGAGAAATTTAGTTTAGCTTGTTCATTGTTCTGAGAGTTATTGGTTTCTCTACTCCTTGAAATCCTGCAGAGCAGAGTGTCAAACTCAAGGTCCAGTGGCCGGATCTGGCCCATAGGGCCACCTTGGAAACAGCAAAGGACCGGTCCACCATGCCTCTGCTAGCGAAAATGGAGCGCATTCGCGGCCCTCCCAAGGGCCTGTTTTCTCTGGCAGAGAGTTGCAGAGGCCATCCCAATCAAAAATGGAGCTTGCAAGGGCCGCACATGCCCCCCCACCAAGCTCCATTTTCGCTGGCAGAGGGCTGCAAGAGGCCATCATAGCTGAAAATGGAACTCAGGAGCCCATTTTTGCTGGCAGAGCGCTTGGGTCACCACAGGCGCCCCCCTGACATGAGTGATATCATGCTGGCCACACCCACCTTGGCCATATCTATCCCCCCCCCCGAGGTCCAACACAACGCCGATGCAGCCCTCAATGAAATTGAGTTTGACATCCCTGCTGTAGAGATTATGGCATGCCACCAATACAGTAGTATCCATGGTTCTTGCAATAATCATTTTAAGAGTTTCATCTCTCTATTTTAAAAAATTAATCTATTTTTTAAAATTACTATGAATTAGCATTACAATAAAGCCTAATATTTTAAAAGAACGATATAATTTGTACAATAAAAGGAGAATACTAAAGATAAGAAAAGAATAGAAAGCAAGATTTAGTTTTCAAAATTATTTCAAATAGCTTTGTATATTCTGCAGAATACATTTCAAGCTTTGAGACATTGGCTCAAATTCAGTATCTGATAATGAGGAGTTTCAAAAACATAGTAGGGCTTTGGGCATATTGCATGCTACAAATCTAAGTTTTTACAACCTGTTTTTGGCTTTTTCCTAAAGCTCCAACTTTAAAATAGTTAGGAGTAGGATATCAAGCAGAAAGTTGCATCAGTGCATTCAAAATAAGTATTAAGCATTCACAGTGGATGTCTGTTAATGACTCAGAAGGAGACGTTACAGACTATGGATTAAGTATGATTAGATTGTAAAATAAACACATTCAAATGACAAAGTATAAT